CGGTCCGCAAGTATATTTCAGTTTGATCATTACACGGGTTATCATCTTTCCACGGTCAGATTAACCAGAGGCATTACGGATGGTGTTTATTGTGTTGACACGTAATCGCTATAAGATTCAAGTTTTCATTTAAACGATGTGGGCCCCCTATTTTTAAATTTTAATCCCCCCATTGTAGACCCCACTATCTTTCTCAAGAAGATAACAATGGGATCGGTTTTAATTCAAACGATTTGGTTTCCTTTCCTCCAAAATATTAAACCATTTAATTGCTTGTAATGTTTCACTAAATAATAATTAAGTGAGGACGCTTGACATTTCACAAACTTTTAGGACAGAGACCATTTCGCCGTCAATTACAATAGACACGTGTCACACATAGGGGATGGTGGAAATCTCATCTCAGATGCGGATAAGCTCTCTGCATGATTTTGGCTGACGCGGGTGGTGCCTGCGTTGCAAGGCTGTGGTTGCGACGTTTCCGACCATTTCGTCGTGGTCATGCCTCAGGGGTGGTATGGATTTCCCAATCTCTCCAAACACGAAATTACCACACGATGCTAGCCCCTCCATGTTGTCGGCTTCAGGCATCTATCATCCTGTTGGTGTCCTCTCCAGTAAGTCCAGTCTTTTCGGATTATTTCAAAAAACAAAAAACGCTCGGCCTGTCGCTCTGATCACCGAGATCTTCGGAACTTTAAAAAAAAATCATTGTCGACGAGTCCGAAAGGACCGTCACAGTACGTAATCCTAAGAAAATTTTTTTTCCGAATATCCTGAAAAAATGATATAGGGATTTGAATACGCTCATCAATTGACAAGGTTTGCAACCCGCAATACACTGTTTTTAAAAGCTGCCCAAACGATTGTTCAGCAATGACGGAGTGATTGTAGCAGCCCAAGAGCAAGGTAAGGATATATGGAACAAAATTCCTCTATAATCATTACATCGCTTGTCTAAAAAGATTGCCGATACATAATACGCACGCAACCCCGGGGTACTTCAGTTAGTTGAAAAGAATATAGATTCTTGAAAATATTGAACATTCTTATCTACACACACACTTGTTTTCTCGTTATAGTCGAGCCATCCTGAAACTTTTCGTTCCACGGAGTTATCTGGTGGAGTTCGATGTAAAGCCACTGGACTTAGGACAAATTAGGTGTGAACCCGTTGAAACATCCCTTCCATAGCCTTACCTTACCTTCACGAAGGAATACTGACTGTTTCGAGCGTCAGCCTTGGTTTAAAAGCTCGATAGTTGATTATGTTCAGGGATGGGCCTGTAATGCTTTAGTATTCGGTTCAAGATTTGGCAGTCCAAAGTTGGATATCAATGTAAAGATATTTTCACTTTTAAAATGATTTACAAAGAGCAGAATGTTGAGGCAGGTCCAGCTTATTTCCTATATTCATTTGTAACCAAATGCAAGATTAGTCCTTGACAATTTTTTGGAATGAGGTAAAACCTTTTTTAAGAAAGTCTCAATACAAAAACCTTTAATTTTATTGCTGATACCTCCAATTGAAGCAGAACAGATCAATCCAGTCATGATTTTTCCCATTTTTTTGATGACCGATGTTGCTTTTGCATTCATTGGAGAATGCAAAGTGGCTTATTGTATCATACCCTGGAGTACAGTGTAAAATATTTACAATTACAAGAAACAATAACACTCTTAAAAATGCCTGTGGCTATATGCTTAAGACTTACTATTGTGAAGAATTACTGTTATAACAGTTTAAAACTAGACAAAGCACAGATGATGTACAAGGAAAAAATGGCTTGGAAAATGGAACTAAATGTTTCCTTGTGATCTGTACACTAGGAAACTGCATGGCTAGTAATGAGATCTTTATTTTGTGGCAAGTAACTGGAGGGCACTTGTCTAATAAATAAAAACTTAACTTTTATTTGAGAATAAGTAATAAAAGTATTAAACATATAGAATATTTATCCTAATGTTTATAAAAATATCTACCCTTAACCATTCTCACAATTCTTATCTTAAAACAATTACAACTTGTTAATTAAGATTTGCTAATACTGCCAATTACTTTCTAATTCACATCATTCAATTGCGCAGAGGTACCAACCCTATACTATAGATTGAACATAATAGGAGTTGTAGTTAAGAGAATTGCACAGAAAGAAACACGAATGAAAAAGTTCAGATCATCGGGCACCTTTTTATTACAGGAATGATGCCACAGTTCAGTAAACACTTGATAGGGAGGCAACATTCATATCAAATTTGTGATTGGTGATGAGAAAAATGTTAATTCTAAGATTGCGGGATATTACTCAGGAATTCACATTGACTCAATAAAATCAATTCTAGACTTGTTCCATGACAACTTACATTTTGATAGGAAATGTACTGCAGTTACCTCCCTAAGGGATGATAACCCTAACAAAAAATCGTCTGCCTCAAGGATTAGGCGCAGGGCTAACAACCCAAAAAGGTTCAGTTCAAAGCGATTTAAATATGCCTTGGACTGGACCAAAATCAAATATACAACAAAGGCTACAAAAACAGACAATGAACATTGGTACAAGGAATATACAAGGCCTGAGAACAAAACAGGGAGGTCATCTCAGAAATAGAAAAAAATGAGCCTGGACATAATTGTTCTTATGGAAACAAAGAAAAAGGTACAGGGGAAGAAAATTTAAATGAATATTTTCATGTATGGAGTGGTGTGTCCAAGTATTTTAGAGCCAGAAGTGGAATATCTTTTATTAAAAATAAATAATATATTTCCTTATTAAATCAAAATAGTCAAAATTAATTAAACAAATGAAGCATATTAATGAAACGATACTCAACATAGACATGAACATTTTTCATCACCAGGTAATTATTTTAAGGATGTATGTTGTAAATGAAAAAATAGTTATTTCAAGACCTCAGTGAAATTATAGAGTATTCCACATCAAAATGAAATTCTATTAATTGGGAATTTTAAAAGCATGTAATTACTATGCAAAAGCAAGCAATTACTATGTTGGAAATACCATTTTCAGTCATAAAAACATCCATAAATATACCAGAATAGATCCAGTAACAAGTATGCAATAAGTATTGATCTAGTTGTGCTAAAGGAAGAAAACTAAAACTGAATGATGTGAGAGTATACTGCCCCAACCAGAATGTGAAACCGATCATCATATGGTAGTGACCAAACACGTATTTCCTTCTAGAAAAAACAACAACAAAGATCTATTGAAAAAGATACTGATAATGTAATTGAAGAAAATGACTCAAATTTTAAAACAATACAGTGTTGAAATGCTCTACCAAAACAGAATTAAGCTCTAGCTCGAAAACTGAAGATAAAAGCCATGAAGAAATGTATTATAATTTAAAAGATGTTTTTAAAGCAGTTAAGGAGCTAGGAGTGGAACAAGAAAAAAGGAAGTTTGTAAAAACTTCAATGAAAAATTAGCATGCGTGATAAAGGAAAAGAAACAATTATATTTGATGTGGATTTCAAAACAGAATGTGCAGTAAAGAGAAATGAAGTTAAAGAAGATGTAAAAATTGAACACTGGGAGAGATTATGTAGGGATGTAGATAGTACAATAGGATAAAATAGATTGACCATAGCATGGAAAACTTTCAAAAATATGAGGAAAAATTGTATCTATATTGATTAGGCTATTTTCTTAAGTTTCTAAATATAGTAATGCTATAATGATTCTGTCCCTTAATTCAATTCAATTGTATACAATTACAATATTGACCATTTTACTTCTTTAGTAAGTATATTTTTCAAAATATCCAATTTAGTTTAAAATATATAGTTAGTTATCCTAAAGTACTGAAATATATTTTTATCTTTCATCAGGTCGAGCTAGTATGTGAAATTCCGTTTTTGTCATTCACGTTGTTTCGAATGGAAGAGCATCTGAGCTTTTTTGACTCCTTGCCTCCTTTCTTCAAATATTAAACAAATGCGATTGATTTACTTAAATTAGTTTCCCGCAGACTGCGCGTAATGACCGCAGCGGAAATTTGGCTCATTAGCACGTCGAGACTTGGGCGACAGGCGAGCGTCGCGGCAGCGCACACACATGTATGTGTGCACAGTGTGTGTTGCGTGTCAGATTTTCGTATGTTTTTGGCGATCAGACTCAAAATTTCATCAAAACAGTCACTGGTCGTTTGAGCGTCTCTCGTCCTTTGTGGCAACAAGTTATGAAAATCTCCTTCCTTTCTCCTTGCTAGGTCAAAATCATGGAGTCCTTTTCTACGTTTCCTAGAAAGATATTAACAACTTGATGGAAGATCGTAAAGAAGGCATCGTATCGAATGTGCTCAGAAAACCTACAACGAGCAACGTGGCATTCTCTATCTCCTGCATCAATAGAAGTGAGCGCCGTTTCTTTATCGGGTAAGGAAAACGGTCACCAAACGCTGACTCATAACTGACGCTGCGGTGTGAACGGACCCGCCATTTCGTTGACGCGGCTAGCGCGGAAGTTTCCGAACTGGTCTGTGGGAGCACAAAAACAAGAATTATAAATCTATTGAAACTTTTCATTACTAAAATGTACAACATTTTAAGAACAAAAAATGTAAATAATCGAAGTTTAACATTATATAAAATTAATTAAATTACAGAACACGACTAGATGTATTTTTTTTCTGACCGACCAGTCGTGTCAGATTCACTGGCGAGCTGAAAATATTCGATATTTGACGAGTCAGCCTTGGTTTCCACAGCGAAACTCGAGCGGCAGCGGAAAAAACGCGTCCAGCCACGAAACAAAAT